CAGGTGACTTCAACGCGCAGATTGGAAAACTGAGCGCATCAGAAGCTTGCCTAGGTGGTAGTTGTGCTCTGCCCAGCCAACGAACAGATAACGGCGATCAACTTCAGTTCTGCGCAGACCATCATCTGTTCCTATAAAGCACCAACTTCCGACATAGCTCTCATCGGACGGCAACGTGGCGCTCCAGTTCAACTGGTACACTAACTCAAATCGACTATATAGCAGTAAGTTACCGTTGGCGTGGCTCAGTGCAAAATTGTAGGCCCTATTGGATTACTTGCGTTGAGTCTGACCACGCACTAGTTTTGATGCAGTTCACTCTCCGACTGACTGGCCGGCCACGGATTCAGCAAACTCGTAGAGCTCATCATCGACTATCTGTTCCAGCAGCTCGTGTGCGCTATGAATCAGAGCTAGTGCTTGAGCTAAGCGCACCTCAACATGATGATTCAGATCAGCAGTGGGATCAGATAAGACGGGCAATGCATTCCGCAGCGAATGTTGCTTGCGGGTCTGAGCCTCAAACCCGTCAGAGGCATTGGTTATATCTCAGGAGTCAGTAGCCCTGATGGAGAAGAAACGATAAACCCCGACCCGCCAGGGTCAAAATAGAGTTAGTTGGTATCTACGTCAGCTCACGAAGAAACTCAAGAAGGACCGTGAGAACTGGTGGGCAACAATAGCCAGTGAAATGGAAGTAACAGCTGCATAAGAGAATAGTCAAACTGTTCCGACTGATATGCAACACGGGAGGTCGACGAACTTCAGTTAGTGAAATACTCTGCGATATGAGGGGACGAGCTATTCACAATAGGGATCAACGACTCGATCGCCGAGCAGAACACTTCAGCGAAAATTCAGCTGCCCTAGTGCTAACCAGGCTACTTCAGCTGCAACTGAAGCTCCGTGGGCAGTATCATGCGATCCTACAACGGAAGTTCGGTCTTGCACTCAGGCTCTGAAGCGAGGAAAGGCAGCAGGACCGGATGAGCTCCCTCCCACTCTTTTCAAGATGAGGGTGATAACCACATAAGCTGTATAACTACCCTACTGCGCAACATTTGGATACAAGAACACATTTCTTCATCTTAGGGCGAGTCACTGATCGTTCCCATTTTCAAGAAAGGATCCCACAACGATTGCGGAAACCACCGCGGGATCAGTTTGATCCCGATCGGCACCAAAGTGCTAGCTTCGGTTACACTTTGATGTTTGACGCCTTTAAGAGAGAACAAAATCCGTGAACAGCAAACCGGATTCCAGCTTGGACGTGGATGTATTGATCAAATTTTTAGGGTGTGTCAGATCCTTGAGCTGCATCATACCTACCGTCGGCCAACGATCGCAGTGTTCCTTGACCTAAAAGGGAGCCTTCGATTCAGTGGACCGTGAAGCTCTGATGGGCACCCTTCTTCGAAAAGGAATGCCCCAGAAGTACGTGAACATACTGAGGTCACTTTACTCCGGTCGTGTAAGGGTCTACAACAAACTAAGTAGACCATTTGTCACCGGCAGCGGCGTTCAAGGGTGCCCTCTTTCGCCTTTCCTGTTCAATTTTGTCGTAGGCGAAATACTGGAGAGCGCACTAAGGGGACTCCAAAACGTAAGCATTGAATGGGTAGCTGGAGAGAAGCTGTGCGATTTAGAGTACGCCGATGACATCGTCTGTCTGTTCGAATCTATGGAGGACGCGCAAAGCACACTTGATAGACTAAAAAATGCAGTTGCCACATTCGGTATGTGCTTTGCACCTTCAAAGTGCAAAGTGATGCTGGAGGGCTGGGTTTCGCCCACTCACGCTCTGAAACTAAATGGTCAGGATTTAGTTATGGTGGATTACTTTTCCTACTTAGGTAGTTGCGTGACCAATGACGGCAGTGCAGCAAAGGAGATAACCGTCCGCATTTCTAAGGCTCGAGCAGCATACGCAGGATTGAGACACCTTCGGCGTAGAAGCGACGTTTTACTGAAATAGAAAGGTCGTGTACACTGTGCTAGCATTCGTTCAGGTCTGCTTTATGGTTGTGAGACCTTGAATTTGCGAGTAGAAGATATCCGTCGACTAGAAGTTTTCGATTATCGGTGGTTACGCAATTTAGCCCA